GGTTGCCATGCCCTTTTTCAGGTGATTTGGCTGAACCAGAAGAGCCATAACTGACCTTAAATTTATTGGAGCAAAGTTTTAAATTATATAGTGCATTATTATGTAGCAATATTTCTTTTTCACATTGGTTATCTACTCATTGGAGTGTGGAGGATTGTTGTCTAGGTATGCAGGAGTGTATAGATATGGTTTAATAATTTATTGGCATTTAAAATATTTTTTATTGAATTATTTTCTTGTTTGTGTTAAAAATCTCCTGATGCGGCTTACAGGATGGCTCATTGCATTGCTCTGAATGAAAAGTCTCCCTGCTTCAATACTTTGTCATGATAACTAAAGGCATAATGAATGATCATTATCAGCATCTTCTAATTATATACATATATATATATATGCACATACATATTTATCATACATACATATGTATATATGTATATACATATATGAATGTATGTACATATATATTTATCATATATACATATGCATATTTGCATATACATGTATATATTGATCAGTATCTTCCAATTATATATGTGTATATATATATCTTTTATGCTCAGGAATCTATCTCTATGGATGAAGAATGAGTGATGACAGATTTTAAATTGCTATGCAGTCTTAAGGCTCCACATCAGCATTTTTCCTACAGAAATATGCATGTACTTTCAGCCTCTCTTGGATACCTGGAATGTATTCCAAATATATAAAATTTTAATACAGTCATCTGAAATAAACATCTTAACAGAGTAACTATGACTGCTACCTTCAAATACAACAACAGTGCTGGTAATCAAGCAGATCATTATAACCGCCCTCAGTTCTGTTTGCTTGGACAATGGAGTTACATAACTCTTCCTACATACAAGCCATACTACAAGCAAATGATATAACATAGTGCCTTTGTTATCAAAGAAGAATTTATGGAATAGTAAGCATAACTTCAGATGGATATAGTGAGGAATAAGTGAAAGGTGTAGCAATACATCATTGAGTCAAATGTTCAAAAGTAAAGGTTGAGCATGTGTATGTATATGTGCATTTGTATATATTTTTATTTACAGTAAGTGCACTCACATACAGGCTTCCCTGATGGCTCAGCAGGTAAAGAACCCACCTGCCAATGCAGGAGGCAGAGGAGTTACAGGTTAGATCCCTGAGTCAGGAAGATTCCCCGGAAGTGAATATGTCAACCCACTCCAGTATTCTTGCCTGAAAAACCTCATGGACAGAGAAGCCTGGCAGGCTACAGGCTATGGGATGCAAAGAGTTGGATAGCACTGAGTGGCTATGCTGGCGTACTCACATCAATAAGTGCATAAACACAGACTTATTTAATTACATCTTACATGTTGAAAGGAAGCATGAGAAATTTTTGGAGAGAACAAAAATGAAAAAAAAAATGAACATTTGAGTTGACATAATCTTGAATGTACAATTTAGAAAACAAGATTCAAAAGTAATTGAATAATTTATATTTAATGATTTCTTTTCCAAAGCAACACATCAAAAGCATCTAATCTTGAGGCATGGTTACATTTGTGTGATGATACATTCTCTATCAACTATCCAAGCTATTTATATCCAAATTGCCTTTAGATTTTTACTGCTACTTGAGAGATGTAATACAAAATATCCTTACCTAAGGAAAACTAGAAGGATGAATAGTGATGTTTATCTCAATTTTCTGAACATTTTATTGGATAAATGTGTATCTTATTAATATGTTCTTACTGCTGCTTTGAAAGTTTACCACACTACTGGCTTACATCAAACAAAGTTATGTTCTCATTAGACTAAAGTTCTAGGATAAGAAGCCTGAAGTGAGTCTCATTAGACTAAACCAAGATGTCAGCAGGGCTTCTTTCCTTCCAAAGACCCCAGGCAAAAATTAGTTTCTTTTCCTACTCCAGTTTCCAGTGGCCACCTGCACTCTTCAGCTAATGGTCTTTCCCCCATATTCAAGTTTCTTTCAGAGTAACATGCATTTGCCCCTTCTCTTTCACATTTAGGGGACAGTTGTGATTAATTTAGTCCCACCTACATAATAGTGGGACTGTTGACTCACTACAGCCAGTGCTTGTCTAGGGAGGGTCAAAATCAAGACAGAATCTCAGTCTCGGATCCTGGAGAAAACTTTTATTCAAGCTAGAGTGAGGTAATGGGACTTTCAGGTTTACTCTTCTGGAAGACAGAAGAGATTGGGGGAAGGAGTAATAAACCCTGAATGCATCTGGCTTGTAACACTGTGCACTAGACACAGAGAATGAGCAGGCAAAACTTCCTATCTGTCCAGACCACTGCCCCCAGGGAAATCAGTTACTAGAGATGGTGGTAAGGAGAGGAAAATGGTAATGAGCAGACACGGGGAGCTGTAAATATCTCCTCTGATGCATCCCTCAGCCCGTGCATCCTTGGCATGGACAAGACATGGATGCTGCTTCAGGTGTCATAACTGATACAGGGGACCAATGCTTGAGTCCATCCCACTGCTTTGTTGGGTAACAGAGCTTTTATCTCCATCATCAACCACCAAAGAGGAATCTGAACACTCATGTCAAGACCTTTCTCTGAGAGACACCAACAAGTGAGTCTAAGAACCCAGAAATACTGAAGATGGTCAAAGGGAATAGGAACGTTTACCTGAGCTCATAAGCGCCAATCCAGACTAGCTCAAACCCAAAATTACTGTGTTTTTCCCCCTGTGATTGATTAATACTTTAATTTATTAATTTGTGATGCCCAAAATACAAATGAATATAGAACTCAGCAATGTAAAAGTGAATGATGACTTTCGATGCCATGGACTATACAGTCCATGGAATTCTCTAGGCCAGAATACTGGAGTGGGTAATTTTTCCCTTCTCCAGGGGATCTTCCCAACCCAGGGATCAAATCCAGGTCTCTCACACTGTGGGCAGATTCTTTACTAACTGAGCCACAAAGGAAACCCAAGAATACTGGAGTGGGTAGCCTATGCCTTCTCTAGCGGATCTTTCTGACTTAGGAATTAAACCAGGGTTTCCTGCATTGCAGGCAGATTCTTTACCAACTGATTTATCAGGGAAGCCCAAAATGATGGACATGGAAGCTCAGTTAGAAGGGTGAATAGGACATGTAAAGTGCTTCCAGTATAAGCAGAACCCAATTAACTTTTAACTATAGTAGAAATATGGGGTATTAACAATGGAGGAGTGTACAGAGATGCAACACCTTTTTTTGTTTTTTTTTTTTTAAATATGCAGCACACTTTACTATGATGAGAAAAATCCAGACCAAGGTATGTTAACACATATTTCCTTGCAACAGCAGTTCATGAGACATAAATTTCTCAGTATCTCCTCTCTCAGTATTCAAATAAAAAAAAATTTATTATGAGAAAAGGTTGTGCTAATGAGTTTAATTTGTGATTGTTTTATTTCCTGTAAGGCTAAATACGTTTGTTGGTTAGTTAGTCAGTCCTTTTATTAAAAAAGTAGAACTATATATGTTTCCTTTGCCTCTGTATGGTGAATCAGCATGTTTTTATTCCTGGTTTTTATTTCATTCTTTAACGGGATTGGAATTTTTTCAAGTTTGTTGTTTGGCCTTTAGCTATTTTATGTACATATGCAAGAATTTGTGCAGAATGTTTGTCTCAGAGTTTATAAACTTTGTGTGGTAAAATCTCAGCATCATCTTATATTCTTCATTCCTGTATATTTTTTAACCGAAGGAAGAGGGCTGCCACTTAAATATTCTTTAGTTGCAAATCCTTGCTTTAAGCATAAATGAAAATGAATATTTTTCTGCATATACATCTTAATAAGTCATGCTTTTTATGGATGTTCAACTACTTTCCACATCTATTATCCCTTATTGTTTAATTGATTTTATTGTGATCAGATCTGTTCATGAAAGTTGTATCATATTCAGCCACCATTTGTAAGACATTCTCCTTTGCATTTAACTACAGATAAATTTTATCTTCTGTACCTATATTTGAATCTATATGTCTGTATGTGAGAGGAAATTATAACTTAGGTACTGCTTGCTCCTCATATTTTAAAAGTCTTTCTGTCATATTCCTTCACATCCAAATCTTTGCAATCTAACATTGAATTAGTGACCCTCAGGGATATCATTAAGTTGTGACTAGTGTATATCATTTCTTTAAGAATTTAGTTTTGTATTTCCCTTCAATTTTGGTTCAGACTAGGCTTTTTAAAGTATTAAATTTCCTGAAGTCCTGAAGATACTTTTTATGGACAAGGGCCCCCTGTGACTTGAAATTTCAGCAACAGCATGGAGGCCACCTTTTCCCTCAACATCTTCTGACATTACCTCTCCTCACTCTCCCTCCTGCTCATTTCCTCACCAGACTGGCTTCTGTTTATCCACTGGAGCATCTTGAACAAACCTCTTCCTCGGGGTCTTCACACTAACCGTTCCTTTATTATGATACCCTTCCCCAAATGTGCTCACAGTAGTGACACTTGAAGTCTATTTGAATATCTTCTTTGCAAGTCTTGCCTAAATTTGCATAAAAACCATACTCTATTTTTGCTCTCTCTTTGTACCTGCTTCCTTCGTAACATCTATAACCAAAAGACATCATATGTGCGTGTGTGTTTATTTCCATGTCAACTTTTTTATTTGCTTGTATTCTGTCTCCACAACCAGATTTTAGTAGCTTTTGTTTTTCGGCACTCTAAACTCCTTGCTTGCATAGTAGCTGGAATATTGTCACAATTCAATTTATATTCCTCAAATGCATGACAGAATTAATTTTATTAAAACTGTACTATACATGACATCCTGGGGGAAACTGACAGTTGGACAAGTTTGTTAATTAGAGGTGACACAAGAGGTGCCCTCAAGTGCACAAAATTCATGGACAAAATGTTAAAAGTAATTTATTGATGGAAATGTAAATAGTAGCATTTATACCTTGTGAGTAATGTCCATTTGTGTGAAAATAAGTCATGTTATTTAGCCATTTTTTTCATAGTCACCACCACCACATGGCACCAAGGAACCTAACAGGTGTTTCCAAGTTTCTTCTTCTGGGATTTTCAGAAGAACCAGAATTGCAACCCTTCATATTTGAGCTTTTCCTCTCCATGTACCTGATCACTGTGTTTGGAAACCTGCTCATTATTCTGGCTGTCAGTTCAAATCTCCAACTTCACACCCCCATGTACTTCTTTCTTTCCAACCTGTCCTTTGTAGACATCTGTTTCACCTCCACCACCATCCCAAAGATGCTGGTGAATATACAGACAAAGAGCAAAGTTATAACCTATGAAGCCTGCATCACCCAGATGTATTTCTTCACACTTTTTGGAGGACTGGACATCTTGCTCCTAACAGTGATGGCCTATGATCGCTTCATGGCCATCTGTCACCCCCTGCACTACACGGTCATCATGAACCCCCAGCTCTGCGAACTGTTGGTGCTGGTGTCCTGGGTCATGAGTGCCCTGCATTCCTTGTTAGAAAGCTTAATGGTGTTGCGACTGTCCTTCTGTACCTTGTTAGAAATTCCTCACTTTTTCTGTGAACTCAATCAGATGATCCAATTTGCCAGTTCTGACACCTTTCTCAACAATGTGGTGATGTACTCTGGAGCTGTGTTGCTGGCTGGTGGTTCCCTCACATGTATCCTTTACTCTTACTCTAAGATAATTTCCTCCATATATGGAATCACATCATCTCAGGGGAAGTATAGAGCATTTTCCACCTGTGCATCTCACCTCTCCATTGTTTCCTTATTTTATTGTACGGGTTTAGGAGTGTACCTTAGCTCTGCCAGTACCAACAGTTCACACTCAAGTGCAACAGCCTCGGTGATGTACACTGTGGTCACACCCATGCTGAACCCCTTTATCTACAGTCTGAGAAATAAAGACTTAAAGAGGGGTCTGAAAATACTCTTTGGAAAGGTGACTCTAAAAGGGCCATTGTCCTAGGGCATAAGAAGTGCCCTGGGTAGCAGAGTTCAAAGCAAGCCAAAAGTTTTTCCAGTCTTTGCTTAGACTGTGGACATAGAACATGTCTCTTCCAATTTTATTGGAATTTCTATTTTTATTTCAAATTTTCTATACAGTTTATTCAACTCACTTTTAAGCTTTGTGATATCTCTATTATCCAAATGGTATTCCCAACCTTGAACATGAAATATTTAATTTATTTTCAAGCAAAATAAATCACACCGTGTATCTTTTTTTTTTTCACTGTAATAGTAGCTGTACTACTCCTATGGGGAGGAAACTCCTCTTGGCAAGATAGCTATTTATATAACATTATTACAGAGAAGAATTTGAGACCATTCTTTATCACTTTTATGAACATCATTCTTTGCACATCATTACCTTAATTTCTCTTCCTGATAATCCAAACTTTAACATACTGGATATTATCACTGGTCATGTTCTGTTTCTACTCATTAGGCTCTGGTACACGGCTTATGCCAACTGTGTCTACCATAGTTGCTGGAAAAATTTGGTAATAAAATACATGTCTTCAAGTGGATAATAAAATACATGTCTTCAAGTGGAATCTACAGCAAAAGACAAATATAGGAAAAATATTGAAATAATATGACCGGGCAGTAGAGTTGATCTTCAGTAAAATGAAGGAAAATATACAATCATTCATTTATTACTCTGCAGATATTGTCAGGCAGTTCAGAATTTTTCTTTTTCGACTCTATTTCAATGAGTTTTCCACTCACTGAAATACGGACTTTCAGTGTCCATTTGTAAGGTGTGCTCATTCAGCTGAAGGACTGGAAGTATGCTTTCATTTTTTATTAAATTATTTTTCTCGTCTCTGCCTAAAAATTTCCAATACTTACATAAAATATTACTTTCTGTGTCTCTAAATTAAATTTCTCCCATTATTCAATGTATTGTCATAACTAATGAACAGGGCAGTAAATGAACATCAATGCCATCCATTATGTACCATCTTCATAATCAAGGCATGACTCAGTATGAAACGAATTCTTGATTCAGGGTCACTGGTGTTGTGAAAACACCCATGTCCTTCCAATCTCCTGTTGTGACCTCAGAACAACATCAATGAGTCACTTTTTCATACAGTTATAGGAAATAAACTTGAATAACAACGTTCATGAATGTTGTCTTCAAATATCAAAACAAATGCCTAGAGCATGAAGAATTAGATTATTAAGATTGCCCTCAGTTCTATCCAATTTTACTATTTTATCAGTTAGTTATTGCTGCATACAACTTTTCTAAAATAAAATTGTTTAATAATAAAATATCTTTATTATCATATAGGATGGTCAGCATGGAGTTGTATTGATCTCTTCAGGTTTCTCATGAGACTGTAGTCAGACATGAATCTCTTTATTGTGTTTCTAAGGCTCATCCATGATGATGTGTGTGGCTATACTGTTCTTTCAACTTGAACCAATTTATGTTTTTATACCTATGTAAGTTAATGTTCTAGTTTGCAAGGAAAATTCGCTTATTAAAATGTGGATTTCTTTAATTCCACTATTTCGATATTCACATATAGAACTCTTTTTTTCCCCCCAGTTCGAAGAGATATGCCCTGCCCCTGTTAGGTGTGACTCAGCTTCCTGGGCTTCAGACCCTAATCCAGCATGCGCACTAGAACTTTTAAATTTTAATACCTTAATTAAAGCATTAAACTATGTCCATTAAAGTGTACAAATTGAAGAATTCCAAAACAGATGGCCAGTCCAGGTTGGATGCATGAGACAAGTGCTCAGGGCTGGTGCACTGGGATGACCCAGAGGGATGGAATGAGGAGGGAGGTGGGAGGGGGGCTTCAGGATGGGGAACATTTGTAAATCCATGGCTGATTCATATCAATGTATGGCAAAAACCACTACAATATTGTGAAGTAATTAGCTTCCAACTAATAAAAATAAATGAAAAAAAATTAAGAGTACTCATTGCCTGGTTCCATTTACATATATCTTAAGAAGGTGTACAATAGTTTTATGGTTTGTGTGGTGCAGTGGTAAAAGAATCCACCAGACAATGCAGGAGACAGAGGAGATGCACTTTCAAATCCTGGGTCAAGAAGATCCCCTGCAGTAGGAAATGGCAATCCACTGCAGTATTCTTGCCTGGGAAATCCCATGGACAGAGGAGCCTGGCAGGCTATAGTCCATGGGGTCGAAAAGAGTCAGACACAACTGAACGACTGAGCAAGTACACATGTAGTTGATACAAGTGTATCCCCACAGATTTCTTCCTTGTTTCTGAAGGCAGTGCAGAATAATAAAAATAACTTTTGAGAGGGGGTGTGAGAAAACATGAAATGTATAAAAATAGTATAGTTGAAAGAATGTATTCAAAGCATAAGGAGTGTGTATTATTATTTGTATTTGTATTATTTGTATTTCTATTATTAGTATATATATTTCTCTTAAACCCACACAGGTACATGTACATACACACACATTTTCATTTATAATCCCATTTATTATGCTGAAAAATAACTTTACATAAAATTGAAGGGTAAAGAAGTGAAAATAATAGATGTTTGAATTAACATGAAATTCAAGGAGGGAAGCCCATGGTGGCTTAGTGATAAAGAATCTGCATATCAATGTAGGAGACATAGGTTTGATTCATGGGTCAGGAAAATCCCCTGTAGAAGGCAATGGCAATTTACTCCAGTATTCTTGCTTGGCAAATCCCATGGACAGAGGAGCCTGGCAGGCTACAGTCCATAGGGTCTCAAAAGAGTTATATACACATGGCAGCTAAACAACAGCAATAAAAGAATGTAGAAATTCAGAAAAAAAAAATTTTTAAATAGCATGTGTGACCTTATTTTGATATGAAATACTTTTCCTATCTAAAGTCCTCAAGACAGAACCACATTTATATTTCTGCAACATGAAATTCAATGTACCAGCAAATGAGGTAACTATTTACAAGTTGACTCTAATTTTTTTCTCCTACTAAAATAGGATTTCAATACAAATACCTTTATCCAGAGGAAACTAAGTGACTGAATTAAACAGTTTAAATTTAATTTCAGAGAACTGGATTTATTAGATAAACGTGTGTGTTACATTCCTATTGCTGCAATGAGGCATTACTACCCTAGCGATTTTTTTGAGATCAGAAGTTGATATTCCTTCTAACTGGACTGAATAGAAGATGTCTGCTAAAACTGGGATCCACCTGGACACTCCAGGGAAGAATGCATTGCCTTCTTAGACCCCTTTCTAAGCGCACCTGAATTCCTTGTCTCATGGTCCTTTCTCCATCTTTGAAGTCAGCAGTATAGCATCTTCAAATCTGACCCTGACTCCAGTTCTTCTTCTCTCCTCCATATTTATAGAACTATTGAAATTACCTTATATCAGCCTGGTTTGTTTGTTGCTGTTCAGTCGCTGAGACATGTCCAACTCTTTGTGACCCTGTGGACTGCAACACACCAGGCTCCTCTGTCCTCCACTGTTTCCCAGAGTTTGTCATATTCCTAGCCATTGAACCAGTGATGCCATCCAACCACTTCATTCTCTGTTGCCCCTTTCTCCTTTTGCCTTCAAGCTTTCCAACTATCAGGAGTCAGCTATTCACATGAGTCACAATGACTCACATGAGTCAGCTCTTCACATCAGGTGGCCAAAATACTGGGGCTTCAACTTCAGCATCACAGCTTGAAAGCACTGAATGTTCAGGGTTGATTTCCTTTAGGATTGACTGGACAAGCTAATCTTTTCATTTTAAAGTTAATGATTAACAAATTTATTTTATATGCTAGCTGTTCTCCCCTTTATATAAGCTGACATGTTTAAAGATCTTGGAATTAGGATATGGACATCTTCTAGAGACACTTATTTTGCCTACTTCAAAGTCTTTTATTTGATGTTTACTATTTGATGTCATTCAAGACCCCTTATGTAAAGAGTTAAATACAGTCTATTGCAGCCTCTGTAGTCAGTGAATTTTTTTTTCTTTCAAAATTACATACAAAAATCATTTTTGGTAGAGAAGACATAAACTTAACTGTATCTGACTCTAACACAGGACCAGAGCCTTGTTAGTCGAAGTGTGACCAACGTACTAGGACCTGTAGCATCACAGCTTCTAGTGGCTGTTAGAAATGTAGCCCTTGGGCCCACTGAAAGCCTACATCCTCAATCAAAATTTGTGCTTGGATCCTTGGTGACTTATATGCACACTAAAGGTGGAGAAGTGTTGGTGTAAAATGAGATTTCTCATCTTCTAGCTGTTAATATTTGGGACAGAATAATTACTTCTCTCGGATGCTGTTCTGTGTATGGACAGTATTTAGCCACATCCTTTCTGACATTGTCACATATTCCCAGAAGCAAAACCACCTCTGGTTGAGAACAACGACCCTGAGCTTGAGAACTGGAAACCTTCTAATAGAATTCCAATCAAGACTCCCTTCCAAAACTGGTTTTTAATTTTCAGCAGAACGTTAAATCACCACCTACAATGAGGAATGAAGTACATAATGGTATACTTCCCAGAAGACTTCTCTAAAAATGAGATTAGATAATCCTTGTAATGTGCTAATGGAGGTTATGGCACTTAAACCATCTAAATATTAATATATCTCATAACTTACACACAGTTTGTACCTATTAGCTTCACACATAAGCTTGAAGTTACTAATGTTTTAGCAAAAGTGTCAGGAAGCCAAGGAATGCACTGCCCAATGTTTTACCTTAAATGGACAAAGTTGTTCCTCTTATAAGGAGGGGGCTAATGACTTTCTAAGGGTATCACGGGCTGTGTCCCCACCATATGTCAATGCTTCAGTTATACAAGGGACATAGTGAAGACAGTTGCTTCAGTCTCACATGCTGGAGAAAACTTAAATTCAGGGATGAGATAAGGTGCAGGCAGGAGAATTAATGGAGAAAGATTAATAAAAAACTGAATTCTCTTGCTTTATAATCTGATCTCCAGAGAACACAGAA